TACTCATCTTACTCTTTTCAGTATGTTGGCCAACGCCAAACTATTCCCACTTTTTTAAACCTCAGGTCACTTTTCCTTCCATAAAAGGTTCAGCGCCAAGTATACTTCTATCAGCTCTGCAAGCAGATTTCTCCTCACCAATGTCCTTTAATACTACACTGGTCTAATCTGTAATTTGGTAAACAGTCAATTATTGAACCAACTCATCTGTGAAAAGAGGTCCAAATACATTCCCCCTACATCAGCTGTTCACAGCTAACAGCCCCAAGGTGTAAGCCGAATTCCTACAACACATAAAAATGACACTGGGCTGTGGAGCACTTGTTCATTTAACTTATGATTTCTGGATGTTCCTGGGCTCAATTCTGAATGCATCATACAACAAATGCTGCAGTGCCTGCTCAACTTTATGACTTACTGAATCTGGTAAACCTAATTTTGATAGGCATTTCTAGTAGCATGGTCAGATGGTGCCTATGCCATATATTGAATATATTGGGTCATGTGGCCTAAATGGCATATTAGCTTTTTCTGCAGCTTTGTTTTGCTTTGGACAAGAGCCCTGTCTTCCTCTGGGTCCCAGTCAACATTCAGAGAGACTTATGAGTCACTGACTAAATGGATTGGAGTACTAATGTCGAGTGATTTATGCTGTCTTCAAAATTGAAAGAGTCCACAAGTTCTGTGCCTATTTGTGGTAAGGGGTTCAAGGCACAGTTACTTTTCCATTAGTTAGTATGCTGCCGGTCACTAGAACCTTGAAAACTGTATCAAGGTGGCATGCCCTAAATTTCTGTAGGATTTATAGTTTTTACTGGAATCCAGACCAGTATCTGTTTGGTAAATCATGCTTTGCTGTGAGTATGTCTTTTTAATCTAAATTTTCAAATTTGTTGACAAAGTTATTTATACCATCATATGATTATCCACTCACTGTCTATAGAATCTGTAGTGATGATCTCTTTTATTCCTGACATGAAATTATTAATTTGTTTCTCATCATATCTATTTCTTAGTAACCTTACTAGGGGTTATCTATTTTGGCCTTGTTGATCATTTTTAATGTCTGTTTAATTTCTACATCATTAACATTTATTTTTGTAATTATTTACTTCTAATTTATTTGGACTTAATTTCCATTTTTTCCAATCTTTTGAAATAGATGCTTAATTAATTGATATTACAGTTACTAGTTTTTTCTAACATAGTAATTTAAAGATAAAAATTTATCTCTAAGCATGATTTTAGATGCATCCCTCAAGGTTGATGTTGAATATTTATTAAAAGTCAGTTAAAATATTTGATAATTTCTACTGTGATTTTTTCATGAATATTTAGATGTATATTGCTGTTTTATTTCCAAATATTTAACATACTACAGTAATTTTTTGTTAATGATTTCCAACTTAATGTGACATCTGTTGAAATTTCAAGTGCATACTGGAATTTAGTATAGGCTAGAGATAGCTTTTCAAATTAATGGGAAAATATTAATTATTCAGTAAATATTGTGGAACATCCAATTAGCTACTGCTAGGGATAAAGAAAGGTGGCTCCCTACCTCACACTTTATTCCCAAATAAACTTCAGGTGGATAGAATATTTAGTGAGTTTATGAATAAAAAATTTAAATGAAAACATTTAATGTACAAATGAATAAAAGATTTAAAGATTTATATGGAAGAATGAACACATCAGAAGTATTATAATATATTTGAAAACTACTGCTTTGTTACTTTTTATACTACAGATGCAGGATTCTTAGCCAATTAACATCATTTATCCCTGTAAAAACTTACTATTGTATTTATTTTATTTCATTCTATTCTATTCTATTCTCTCATCTCCAATTGCCACTTCTACTCCTGCCCCACTCTAATTTTTTAATATTTTAAAAATTATGTATGCATTCATGTAAATTTGTAGGATTTTGGTGTGTGGATGTGTTTTTGATGTATATGAATAGTACTCAGGTACATGTCTCTGTTTTCATTATTCATTTATCATGATTTTAAGATCAATATTTCTATACATACAGCTTGTTTGTTTCATCTATCTGCTACAGTATATTTAATAGTAAGAATACAAATTTTATATAAACATTTACCTGGTGATAAATATGGTTGCTTCCAACTCCCCCATGTGATAATGCTGTGATGAATGTCATCACATATATACCCGATGGATTGAATGGGATGTTTTCTGTGAGTTCATGAGTGTGGTTTATAGGGACAGAGGGGAAAAGCATACAAAGCTTCCCCTCATACTGCTTTTCAGAATTAACACTAATACCAGTTCTGATGAAAGGTCTGTTCTCAGATCCTCACCAATTCTTTGAATTATCTACCTTTGTAATTTTTGCCTTTTTGACATAGTTTCATAGTCTTAACACTTATCTATAATGATTTTGAGCCTCTCATTGTACACGTGTTAGCCAATTTGTATTACAGATTTCCCCTGCTATCTGAAAGTAGAGCATTCTTATGAAATCTCTTATCAACTGAAATGACGCAAAGAAGCAATTACCATAAGTTAATGTGGAAAAAATTTTGAGCATTCCCAGATCCAAAATAACCTACCAAATCATACCAAATAACACATAAAACCTGAAATAACACTAACATAGTAAAAGCAATGGTGTTAAATAAAAACATTTACGGCTGAAACTTTTCTGAAAGAAAAGATTTATTGAGCCAAATGCCAGCCAGAAAAAGACCATGTCCTGGGCATGAACCAGGTCTCTACCATAGCTGCTGGGCTAGGTGGAAAGACAAACATGTCCACTGTCCTGGAGTTGAGGGGCTTTTTTACAGAAACAGTTTGGGGAAGAAAGCTATAAGTTGTTTTGAAAGAATTTACATTGGCTGTAGATAAAGGGTGGGTGAAAGTGAAGTAGGGCTAGTTCTGGGATAGGTGCAGAGTCCCTAAGGAACAGTGTCTGCTCCTTTGGATTGGTGGTGGGCAACAGTCTGGAAAGTTTATGGGTGAGCAAGGAGCACAGGCGCCTGATGGGTGGTGCCATCTGGCTATTACATAATCATGGAAATGGCCACCTAGAAGTTTCTACTTACATTCAGGAATGCAAGCAGTCTTTTCTTGTGTTTGCCCTGTACTTAACTGATTAACCTCTCCTGTCTCTTCTTTCCATCCTGCTGTAATTTAATTTATGGCATCTCAGAAGTTTTTTCTCGTCAATATAATAAATATACAGCCTGTATAAGGTAGAAATAATGTATGTACAGTGTAGTTTTACTTATTAAAAAGACTGACTGATTTCTCCTTAAGTATAAGATAACTTAATGGAATACCACGCTTTGTACACCCATCAATCCACTCAATAGACTTTTCATTTTATCCACTTCTGGATGACTAAAAGAGACCATTTTCTTCTAGTAGAACCAGTAGTAACTTCAGCAGCTTTCAAGATTTTTTCCTTCTGCATATAAGAAGTATGAATAGTAGACACAGGCAAGTTCAACGCATGCACAATGTCTTCATTTCATTCACCAGGACTGAAACGCTTAATCATGTCCAGGATGAAGTACTCATCATTTTGCACCCCCCCTCCCCCACACCACCAAATGATATAATGGATCAGTGAGTTCTTTACAATACTATGGCAAATAATAATAATAATAATAATAATAAAAACAGATGAAACAAGATTGCCAAATGTTGAAAATTGTTAAAGCCTGGGTGAGGGATACACTAGGGTTCGTTAAACTATTTTTCTCTATGGGCATACTTGAATTTTTTTCATAACAATTTAAAATAAAAATCATATCAAAAAGTGTCCAAGAGATATGAATATGTCAATCAAAACTTGATGATACAAAACAGTTATGTTTATGTGTGTGTGTATAAAATAGATACACATACAAATTTGTTTAAAACTCCCTTGAGCTCCCAATGCCAGATCCAGCAAACACAAAACGTGAATGTACTGGAGTTACTGTGCATCAGAATTCTCTCCAAACTTAAGAGTCTTAGAAAATTTAAAGGGAGATTTGGCCAACACTTATACACAAATCTGAGAGCCCAAATACCTTATCATTCCTGCCCTGCTATTATCATACATTTTGCCAGTTGTACCTTGTTGGTGATTGATGCTAAGCATTTGCAGATGGACCCACTGCACTGTAGTAACTTTCTGGTGTACCCACAACACAGGCTAGCTGTGCCTCTTCACTCCCTTGGATTTCAGCTGTGACTGGGTTCTAACAGTTCTGAGTTGGCCTCAGCCTTTTAACCACCCAGGCAGAGTTCTTTATGCTGACTACCTTTGTCCCAATCCTCAGCTCAGAGGTAAGTGTCCCAAGTAGCTCACCTAAATCTTTCAATTAGCTTGAGCTTTCAATCATCTGCCATCTTACTATTTTGTTGTTTGATTTTTTTTTTCTGTCTTATTATGTCTTATTGTAGTCTCTTTCCCCTGCAGTTAAGCAAACAATAAAACTCTGACTTTGAAGGGAGGCATCTGGTTTAGAATGTTTCTTTCTGGTCATCAAATCAACTATGGCAATGCACATGGAGCTGGCTGTATTCTGAATTGTCTCCTGACTGTTTTTGCTCTCTCACTAGGGTATAAGATCTGAAAGCTGCAGCCAGTTCTTCATCTTTGTGTGTGTTACTCCCATCATAGCTTCTGGAATATA